TGTGAATGAAACCGGAAATACGTAGATTATATATTTCTATATATGTATATATTCATATATATCAATATCTATGTATGTATGTTTGGGGTTTATGTAATTAAGTACGCATTAACAATTGGCAGCAATAGCAGCAACAAAGACGCAGCATCAATTAACGCTAAATAACTGTTGGGTGTTGGGGAGGTGTTAAGTAGATGTTGAATGATGCCACAATGGCGACCCAATGCGACGCCAGGAATGGAACTAGAGCTAGAGCGACGCCTCGCTTAGTTAATTTACCACCCATGATCATTTTAATGCACTTGAAATTTAGTGTTGTTGGAATAGCACAACACTGGCGGGGGGGAATAGCTGAAACAGGGGCGGAGCTGGGGTGGGCACAGCAATTAACACACTAAAACCGTTGAAAGCGGACCCATTGAAATTGGCACACTTCCGTTGGTGCGTCGCAGGTTAGAGAGAGACGGCACATGGATGACGTGCGTACGGTAAACACTAATAAAAATAACGGTGCCCAATGGGTGGTGTGTGTGGGACTTAGCAATAATTAAGTGAAAAATAGTAGTTAGGGTGGATGTCAACTTAAGCTTGTTGATTATGTTTGATTAGTCAAGATTTAGTCAAGTTAAATGGGATTGGGAGAGAGCTGCTCAAATGCTCAACTTTAGTTTGGATTTTCGATTTCGAATTCCATGTAGTTATAAGTCCAATATGAAACGTTATCGATATTTATTTGTAGACAAACGGACAAACAGGGCTGCATTTCGAAAAACAAATAAAAACAACGGAAATTCAACGAAACCCTGTGAACGAGTTATTCTAGTCAAAATCAGTTAAACAAACCCTGATATCCCGTTTTCAATGGGTTCAAGGTATAAATAAAAATGCAATATAGGCGAGTAGTTTAGTTGTGTAGTGAATTATTAAGCTATGTCTATTATAAAATAAATAAAATACAATTTATCAAATAATGAAATATTGTAGAAGAATACTTGCAAAACTTCTGTTAGTCTCAATTCATATATGGTTAAGGATTTGATCTAAATGAGCATTTGGTGTGTACAAGAAAATATTAGGACGTACTTGTACGTACATACATACATATATGTATGTACATATGTACCTACATACATATATATGCATATATACATATGTATGCGCAAAATTCTATATAAATCTGTAATTGGTATATATGTATGTGCATATATTCCGGCAAAATATATGTATCAACATTGTATAGATATCTATTTGCGCCTAAATAATTCAAGTTAATTTAATAAAGTCATGAAATAATTGCATGTATTTCAAATATTTGAAAACAAAACTCGCATTATTTATTTTTAAAAATGTAGCATTTTAAAATTGTGATCAACGGTTTCCGTAAGGTAAGTTTCATAAAGATAAATTTGGCATACCTGTGGATGACGCAAAAACGAATCTAGTTTACAATTTCCTGCTCTTCGCTTCAGTTTCATTTTCGGTTTTGTTTTTGTTTTGATCTTTCCACTGCAGGGAACAAATTGCATAATTTTTTACAGCATTTTAACATTACTTTATAAAAGCACACGCCCTATAATATCACCGAGCTGATCTACAACGAAACCAACCTTAATTAAACTTAATAAGTAAACGCACTATTAAAATGAAAATCTACAAAAAATATATCTGGCATGCGCTACGTTCGCCAGCACAACGAAACTATCGACACATTTGAAAATATCGCGAGCAGCAGTGCTGCCAGATAGCTAAAAATAAGTACAGTGCAATATCGGTATAAAAGCTACCAGCTTATCGACAGCCGCCACAATTTGAATTTTCTAATAATAACGGATCTAAATTCATAATTTAAATGCTATTATTAATGTTTCTTAAATGTTATATTACAAATTTTGCTATTTATTATGTTTAAGTTAAGTTAAGTTAAGTTATTTGTTTATTTTGCACAGCCAAAAGCAATTGTGTTGAGTCTATCGAGTATGTGAAAAACGCGCTCGCTCTCTTTCTCTCTCTCCCTGGCATTAAAATCGCACTCTCTGTGATTTGCTCTTTGCCGAGTAACGGACCTGCGCAATGCACTCCACAACAATAACCAAAACAAGATTTTGAGCTTGCCTTTGCATTATGTTTTTGCGCCTTGCGACTAAAACAACACGAGTTAACCCGTCGGCTAAAGAAAAACAGAATCAACATATATACAAGCGTTTTTTTCAAAAGTAGACAAACTACAGAGTTGTGATTAGTTAATTGCAATCCAAAGTGAGTATACAAATTTAAAAGTGATTTTCTGCGATAAACTAAAATTAGTAGATAAGCGTGCGTGTAAGTGTTTATATACGTGTGTTTGTGGGAATTAGGTAAACCGTCAGAGGTACATAGCTGGCGGAGTGCAGTTATTTCTATTTTTCAGGTTCACTGCCTGCTTCCGTTCTACTTAGCTGGTCTTTTGTTTGTTGCTCTTCTTTTATACTTTTTCTCAAGACGCTGCCAGATTCATTTGAGTCTGTAGATATAACACACACATACACAAATGTAAATGTATGTATATAAGCATTTATGTATGTTCCTGTGGGAAACTAGTTATATTAAGAGGAACACTGGTACGCAGCATAATAAAAATAAAAATATAGACTAAAGCAACCAATAGTTGCGTTTGATGCCGATCAAAAATTCCTGTTCATGCATACTGATGTCTGAATTTCAAGGTGTATGGTGTATGTTTTGTATGTACATATGTATGTATGCGTTTGTATTTGCCGCTTGAGTTCGTTACAGTTTGTTAACCTCTGTCGGCAGCCGTTGCAATCGGCATTTGGTCACACTGTGCTCCAATTCGCTTGTTGTTGCCGCTGCAGTTTTACAGTTGTTAACACTTTCCTCTATTACGTTTTAATTCTGAAATCTAATCAAGAGCTCCCACGCATACACACACGCACGCACAGTTGACCACTGTGCTGCTTGTCTGCTCCTGTTTAATACCCGTTAGCCATGTCTATAGGTAAATTTCCGGAATTAGCTGATGGCACGCAACCCACCTGTGTGTGTTTGTTGACATGCACGCATACATGCATACGCTTATGTATGTACATATGTACATATACATACATACATATGTACATACTATTCTTTTTTTGTATATTTGCATCAACATCGCAGCCCACTGACCCCAACAGTCTCCCATTTGATTATAAACGCGACAACAACAATTATTCTACAGTGTGCCAAGATCTCATTTAATTGTATTCATTAATTTAATTTCTATTTCTGGTTTGGGATTGAAATTTGTCTACATATGTATGTACATACTTACAAACACATCAAACATATTTGACTAAACGCAATACTTTAAGAGCCAAATTGCAATCCCAAATAAGAAATAGAAATGAAGTTCACTAATCAAATGAAATAGAATTCGTATTTATATAAATAGAAAATAAAGTGGGAATTCACACTACTTATAGTTTTCTTGAAAATCATTGCAATTTTAATATTACTTGTGGTTAGGAAGAAATGCAATGCAATACTTAATTAAAAATATATATAGAATTCTACAAAAAAATTTTAATTGTAGTTTTTACTTTATTAAAATTTTGTAGTTTGATCGCATAAGCAGTTCATTAATCATTTTGAATTAAAGGGCAGTATATATACAAAAATATCCAATTGATAATCCTAGTCTCTAGCTAGATAGTCATATTCCGAAAATGATCATATATAATAATTATATAATTCATATTTGACACACTTAAACCACTGTGCTATCCCTGCACGCCCCCAAATTATTGACAAGGTTTTTTTTTTTTTCCTAGGACGCGTTCCATTGTCCTGTTTACCTGCGTCAGTAGCAGCAGCAGGTAGACCACCGAACAGCTGAACATTTTCACTTCGGGCTCTGTTCTCTTTATAGAAACTAATTCAATCAATCCACCCAAATGTCCAGCTTTATTAACCACTTCACTTCCACCCGCCGCTGACACAATTTCTGGGCGATCGATTTTGAGACGACTTTCGCTACGATATATACATATATGTTTCCTCTCTATATGTTTGGTTTATTCATGCTTCGCAGTGGGAAATTATGCCTATTGCGTTGTCCAACTAATTGGTATTGCGACCTATTCTAATTGAAGAGTTCAAATAGGCGGACGGACAGACGCACGTACATATGTGACTTGCTTAGACATAATTTACTAGAAATAAAATATTTTATGGATTTGATGATGAGCGTAGTTCTTTTAACTATCAAGAAAAGGTTAGAGGGCAGCAATGAACGTTGTTATATATTGTGCTTGGGTATAAATACCCCTAGATGTAGGAATGCGAAAAGAGATTGAAATTGGGTATTTAATTAAATATAAAATATAGAACATAAATATATTAAAATATGAATATCTCATGAACTTGACGCTTACTTACTTACAACACATACGAATGTCAGCAATAACCCATTAACCTCTTTACCCATTTAAAATAAATTTTCAAAAATATAATAATTTGCTTGGAAATTGCTTTTAGTACGTATTCCATTTCCTAATAGTCGACATACAGCTGCATAGATCTCCACGCTTCTGAGCTCTACATATATTGCACGCATTTTGCATTGATTTTTATGCGAGTTGCATGCAGCGAAATGTTAAGAGCCCATCACGTCCTTGCCACCAAAAACAATGCATTCAACGAGGCAGAGCAACAATTCGATATAATAGCAAATAATAATGCGGTAAGAACTAGGCCAGAGCCACATGAAAAAGTGGCTAAATGCAGGCGCACTCATTTCTACACGGACTTGGCCACATTCGTTGAGGGTTGTTGTAGGGTTAATCCGCAGCCAGACGTCGCTAGGCACAGGTGTGGCACAGGCCGGTGGCAGGTGGCAGGCGGCAAATAGAGACACTTGGACATCGTTATGGCTGGTCATGGGGGAGGCGCTTTGCGTGTCTGTCACTGATTTGGGGGTTGGCTCCAATAACTTTCCCCTTCGTTTTGTGCGGTTGACCATACACACATATTGATTTTTATTCTATTTTTTAGACCCCGCCGTTTTTTTTTTGCCTGTTTTGATTAATATTTTGCCCATTTCCTTCCAGTATCTAGACGGTGTCCGGTGTGAAAGGTTCTGACCACAAAAAATAAAAAAAATGGCATCCGGCGGCTTGACATGTGTCAAATATATAACTTTCTTTTGCAATCTGCTGTTTGCGGTAAGTTAACAAAAGAGTTTGAATAATAAATGAATAATGAACCATTATATATCTCTATATAGCTCACGGGTCTCCTGATCCTGTTGGTGGGCGCAATGGTGCAGCTGAACTATGCTCATTACTCGAACTTTGTGAGTGATCATATTTGGACGGCGCCCATTATACTGATGGTTGTGGGCGCCGCTGTGGCTTTTATCTGTTTCCTGGGCTGCTGTGGCGCATTGAAGGAGAACAGCTGCATGATACTCAGCTTCGCCATATTGGCAGTGATAATATTCCTTTTGGAAATTGGTCTGGGAATTGCTGGCTATATCAAGCACTCGGGCCTGCCGCAGCTAATGGAAACACAATTCAATACGACCATGAAGAACTATAAGGAGCGTGATGACTATCGTGATGCCTGGACTTTGCTGCAAACCGAATTGGATTGCTGTGGCACAAATGGACCTAACGACTGGGATGCCATCTTTCCCAACAAGACTTTGCCCCCGGCCTGTTGCAAGGTGATCAATCTCAGCGAGGCCAAGGAGTGCACCACCCTGCATGCCGTGCAGCAGGGCTGTCTGCAGAAGCTGTTGCACATACTCGACTCAAAGACTTTGATACTGGCCGGCGTGGTGCTCGCTGTGGCAGGCATACAGGTGAGCGATATACATATATATATGTATTATTGAATGTCTTTAATTTAAAAATTCCCCTCTTCAATTCTTCTATTTAGCTGCTCACCATACTCTTTGCCTGCTGCTTGTATCGTTCGTTTCGCCGCAGCTACGATCACGTTTAGGCTGCGTAGCGAGGATCCCATCTATCGATTTTAAAAACAGAAAGAAATCGTAGTGTAGTCTGTAGTTTTGTCACATGCATGCGATATAACTCGTTGCCGTCTCTCAAGAGGATATTATATAATAATTATAATACACAAAGAAAAAGAAAAACACAAATCACAACACATTCTCAATTCACAAATTCACAACTTGCATTTTTGTCAATCACTGTTAGCCCAGCATTCTAAGATTTATTTTGTACTATGCACCTACATATATATATATACACACATATATCTGAAAACTTGTTAATGTTATGTCCAGCTCAGTTGTGCTGAGCTCTATATACATAAGCCAACCACTTATATATCTCATATCTACTTATGTTTCATTGCTTTCTTGTATTAGTTGAAAATATATACATATATATTTATTTATATTTTTACTTGCTCCATTCCCATTCATGCCATCGCAACATACCCATTAGGCATATCAATCAAACCAAATAACTGTATCATCTATATAAACTATATACCGACTGTGTCGAAATTGATTTTACAAAGTGTCCTTGAAACAAAAGTTTTGATATGTAATGTACATTTAATTGCATTTTCAATTTTTGCAATGTGTCTGTGTGTGTATGGCCTGTAGACCTATCCTTAAGAAACCCCACCCATTTGCTAATTGTTCTCTTTTATATACCCTTTAGACCTTGATGCAATTTATTATATACACATGAACAGAACACTGCATTTTACACACACACACGGCAATATTTTTAGCAATACACAAACATACCCAATATGCATATAGATATATATATATATATATATATGTATATTAATTTATATATACAATGAATATCTATGTGACTGTATTTGTATTTGTATTCGTATTTGTATTGTAAAGTAAAATAACGAAAAAAGACATTTGGGAGAATTTTACATATCTTGGCAAGTCCTTGAAATAAATTAAAGAATCTGAAGTAGATTAAAGAAAACTGAAAGCGAATTTACAGTTTTAAATCGAAATAATTTAAATTATATTTACTAAACAGTGTGCTACTAAAAGAAAATCGCAAACTATACACAAAAATGCATATTACAATTCAATGCTAGATTCTGTAATCTGAAGAAAGTGATCCATGCAATTGTCTTAAACAGCACGACTTTTTAATTCTCAATATGCATTATTCTTAATATGTATTTTAAATATAATATGAGTTTAAATGATTGTGCAGCACTGAAAAACTTATGAATCAATAAACGAACAAATGACAAAAATAATCAAGTCTGTGCGTAAATTAAATTTCTATAGCAAGTAAAATTTTATTTCTATTGGCTCAATTGTCAACTTAAGCTCAAGTCCGTCAATTGTGACTAAAGTTCAAGGCTTGTTTGTCAATGCATATACGTATGGAATAAGTATACTCTACAAACCACTACTACTCTATAAAATCAAGCAAAGAGGTGTTTGTAATTAAAGTGAAGTTGGATATCATCACACTCTCCACTTAAAGCCTTCATTTATTAGTAGAATGATTTGGAATTGAAGTCAGAAGTTATAGGTCGCGCTCTCAGAGAAAAATTACTAGTTATGACTTCACTTAGTACATGAAATAATTATTTTTGTTTTTAAATAATTAAGCTATACGTTGATGAGCGATTTGAATATTTTCCCTACGTTTTATTTATTTAATTATTTTGTATTTTGTTCCAACTTTTTTTTAATTTTTGGTAAGTTTTATTAAACATTTTTTATTTATTTTATTTTATACTTTAAAAAATTTTAAAGCTTATTTTAAATTTAACTTTAATTTTAATTTTAAAAAATTATTTATTTTTTGTTTATGAAGTATTTCATTTATTAAATTTTTAGTATTGATAATAAATAATTTGCTACGTTTATTTCCCATTAAACAAATATTTTTTAATATTGTTTTTTATTTATTTGTTTTTTTATTTATTTATTTTTTTACATTTGTAGCAAAGTTCGAAGAAATGTTTAATGCAGAAGAATATGTTAAAATTACTATATATATTATCTAGCCTTCTCTGATGTGTGTATCATAGCAATCCAACCAACTTCTTACATTATATACATACATATACATATACAACTCAGTATATGGTTGTCCCTAACGATTTCAGTTTGATGTTTGTTCAATAATAATAAACAAACCTAACAAGCGCCGTCAACTACGCCAACGAATTCGTTAGACACCTTGCGGCAAGCAGTAGGGAATGTGTTGCGTTCCTGAATATAAGTAATCAACTGGATATATAAATATATATATATATGAATATATACTCTAAATATTAATATATGAAATATATATATTATAAATAATAATGTCACAAGCCGTTGCCGCTGGTGCTGCAGCACCCCGCAAGGAGGTAACCGGACTGCATCGCATGACCCAGCAAGGATTACGCGAACTGTGCAAAAAGGATAAACTATATCAGACGCCACGCCTTAACGATGTGCTCTACTTGCACTATCAGGGTAAACGAGGGGATCAATACTAAAATTAACTTTCTATTCAATTTCGCATCGCATTACAGGCTATCAGTATATCGAGTGTCTGGATGAGTATACGGAACTCAAGTGTCTGTGGCTCGAGTGCAATGCCATCTCGGAAATCGAGGGTCTGGAGAAGCAGAGCAAGCTGCGCTGTCTCTTTTTGCAAAACAATCTGATTAGACGCATCGAGAACTTGGGCACATGCCCACTGCTGGATACGCTGAATCTTAGCTCAAACCACATACGCTTGATTGAGAACATTGGCACGGATGTACTGCCCGTCTTGAATACCCTTAATATATCGTCCAACTACTTGAAGGACAGCGAGAGTCTTGCTCATCTGGTGGACTGCAAGACTCTGGCCGTGCTGGACTTGTCCAATAATCGCATCGATGACATTTTGGTGGTTAAAATCTTCGAGAAGATGCCCTGCTTGAAGGTTTTAGTGCTACACGGAAATCCTGTCGTCTCACGTATACCACAATATCGCAAGACTTTGATTCTCGCCTGTGTGAGTATGAAAATTAAATTTGCCAAAGTTTTAAGTAAAATTCATTTAATTTGTACATTCCCAACCACAGAAAGAGCTAACCTACTTGGACAGTCGTCCTGTTTTTCCACGTGATCGTGCCTGTGCTGAGGCTTGGTAATACAAAAATATTATTCCAAATGTGAACTAAAAACCCAACAATTTTATATTATTATAATGCAGGAAACGCGAGGGCTACGAAGGTGAGCGAAAGGAAAATAGGCGCTGGAATCGCGCCGATCGTAAGAAAATGCGTGACAGTGTGAACTGTAAGTAGACAGAGAATACCGTAATATATATATAAATATATATGGACCTTAAAATTCGAATCTTTTAGACACCATACAGCTGCGCAATCGCCATCGGCCAGCGGATCAGCAAGATGCATTGATTAGCTCAACTGATTCGGAAGCAGAAGCGGAAACCGATAAGGGCGCCGAAAGGACACGTGTCAAAGCGGATCTAGAATACGGTTGTGTGGATGACATATGGAGTGAAGTGTCTGGCGATAATAAGCAAGAAAATGAAAGCACGGACAGTTCAGGTGCAGCCAATGAGGCTGCTGGCTCCCAAGATGATGAACTAGCCGAGGAGCTTAGCAACCCTCGAGCAAAGCCTTTACCCGGTCGTCCGAAGGTGCTATATGAAACCCAATTTGCTGATAATGAAGAAGACACACAAAAAGAAACCAATAAGGAGCAGGCAGAGGAGGTACGTTCTGAGAATACAAATATTAAAGATGTGACTCAAAAGGAAGTCAATGATGTGGATGTGAAAGCTGAGGAACAGAGTGTAAAACGTTTGCTTATAGAGGAAGTTAAGTTAGAACCACTTGATGTGGAATGCAAGACAGCTGAACTGGAGAATGAGGAGGTTGATGGGGCTGATAAGGCTCACAAGGCTGTCAAGGATGATGAGGCTAAAGTGGAGGCACCTACAGAAGAAAAGGCCATAAAGTCAGAAGTTAGAGAAGTGAAAGATGAACTGGAAAATGGATTAGCTGAAGTAGAGCTCAAGGAAACACCAGGTCTTGTAACTGATGAAGTGGAGCCAAAGCAAATGCCAGCAGTCATAGCTGAGCCAGAGAGCGGGTCAGAGCTGGATCCAACTGCCAGAGCAGATCTAGATAAATCATACCAGACATTAAAAGCTATAGCTTCGAATGAAGGTGGAGAACCAACGCCTGAGCAGATCAAACAGCAAGCCATAGACCGAATGTATGAATCGTATGGAGACGAGATATCTGTCGAGCAACCCGAGTTCAACAAGGCAATGCTAGAGCCCGAAGAACACCAACAGCCTAAGGCTGCAAACAAAGAGTCAACAGCAAATACTGCAACAAACAACATAATAAAGACTAAAGAGCAATTGGAATATGAAGCGGAGTGCCTAGAGGCGAACGAGATAGTGGAATATAATATGCAAGAGCTGAGCAGTCAAATGGATGAGGACCTGAAGGAGTTGAGTCAACCTTTGGAGGAAATACGAGCTACGCCGGACGAATCGCAAAAGGATGGCAACAACAGCTCCGATGAGGAGAAGGAGCAGGATAAAAGGAAATGCATTGAGCTGACAACCGTGACGCATTCTCTGCGCATCATCGAGGAGTTCAGTGTGCGACGAGAGCGCATGTGCGCCCAAGAGGAACAGCAACAGAAAGTTCAGATTGAGGAGATCCAAACGGAGAAGGATAAGGAAGACGAGTTGGATGCGGCGTTTGCCAAGGCTCTGGACTCTTGCACAGATGATGTGCCCATGCGAGTCTTTGGCGAGGGCTGCGATCAGCCCAGCCACGAGTGGCACAAGGAAGAATGTATGCGTCAATTGACCATAACAGAAGCTCGCACAGAGCAGCAAGACGATGACGAGCTGTTCAAGGTGAGACCATTGAATGCAAGTACTTGCGCCGAGCAAGCGGAATTAATTTGCGAGGAAATGAGTCGAAAACTGGAGGACGAAGAGAATTCGCTGCGGGATCTACTGCAGCAGCTGGAGGATGAGACAGATGTCCTGTACGACATCACGAGTGCCGCAGACGACGAGGAGCTCGATAAGTTGCCAGAGCCACCAGTCGATGAGGTATGCGCGGCGCTCATCCATGACCTAATCGACGAGCTGCAGTATCAGGAAATAATCAATGGCCAGAACATTAAATGCTTTGATTTCGGAGTCATTGAATCGGATGAAGAATACAGCTATTCAGCGGATCCCAAGACTCAATCGATAGTGCCACCCGATCTGGAGGATCCAGCCGGCGGCAAATCGCTGCGCGAGTGTCTCGATGCCTTTGGCACTTTTCTTACTTCTGTCAAAGAGCGCAAGAAGGAAAGAAAGTTGGATAAAAAGGAGACGAGTAGTTCGGAGAAGGTGAACGCAGCCAAGGCGCTGCTGAAGTCCAAAATGATGAATCCCTACATGGACGAAAGTCCCCGGGAGGTCGAGGCACAGCTGGCCAAGCAGGAGGAGAAGCGAAAACGTCGCGTTGCGGCCATGGCAGACCGTTGTTTCTCCAAGCGAGACAGTTACGAAGACACACTCGAAGTTGTGAACAATAAGCTGATGATTGTGAAGAAGGATACAGGCGAGGTCGAGGATCTGCCGCCGCCGCCAGCTCTGATCAGTGATACGGAGAGTGAGTCGGACATTGAGTCGTCCGATGCCGAGCCCGATGACTACGAGACGGCCGAAGAGCTTACTGAGAATAAAGCAGAAAGCCAAAAGGATAGAAATTTACGCGCTAACTGGCCAAAAGCCGACCCCGCTGAATTGGAGCTAAGCAAGGCATCGTTATCCCTCAATGATGGCGATAGTGTGGAGGATCAGTCAATCGATCAGTTCTATTCGCTGGAAGCGAGAGCTGCCTTTAATTCGCTAGACTCGGAGTTCCTGGACAAATTGGATCTGCAAAAGGTAATCGGCGTCGATGGCGAAATAACTGTGGAGGGCATGCGCAGCTACGACGAACTGACAGCCGATGATGCAGCACAGAAAGCTGAAAATCCTGGCGCATTGGTTAAACAAGATGAAATGCTGAAGGACCTAATCGAACGCCAGCATCTGCAGGAAGAACGCGAACGTCAGATGGAAGAGTTATCCAAGGATTTAGGAGCACATAAATTGAAATGTAAATCGATAACAGATCAACTTGAAAGAGAACTCGAAGACGCGAAGGCTTCGACAAATTTGCTACAAATGTTAAACAACTTGGAGTGTCCTAAAGAGGAGGAGTTGGGAGAGAAGAAAGCGACGGGAAATTTCCTAAAGATGTTAAAATGGGGTAGTCCAAAAGAGAAGGAGTTAGAAGAGGATACCATTGAGGAGCAAGAGCAGCAAGAGCATCGAGATGATGAGTTGGACAATGTCCAGGAGTATCCTACCATACAATTAACGCTAGGTGCGTGTAAATTATGCGAAATAAAGAGCCAAGTTCCGAATACAAAGGATGAGGAGGAAGAAGCAGCTGAGAAGGCTAAGGCAGCAGCAGCAGAGGAAAGCAAACTTAAGTTAGAGGAAATAACAGCGAACAGCGAGCAAGTGGATGAGAAAGCCGAGGAGCAATCGAGCAAGGAAATGGGTGAAAAGTCGGTAGGGAAACCCATACCCAATGTGAATGGCAATATAGATGATGACATTATATCGGATGCATCCACGGACTATGAATCAGGCGAGGATATAGCCGTGGTGGAGCCACCGCGACTGCCCGAGGGTGCGCTCACTGAATTGTTTAGCAATCAGTTCGACGAGGATGGCTTAAAGCTGGAGCGTGAAAATGAAGAAGCCCTGCGAAAACAACTATTCAGCTTGCCCCTGAGAGCTTGGGCAAGTCAGAATTCCATAGATAAAGTCGCAAATGTGGCAAAGGAAAAACAAGATTCCGAATCAGCAGCGACCACTGATGTGGATGATGAGAGCTGTGAGGTGGAATCAAATAAGGAGTCGAACAAACCAGCAAACGATGACGATGATGACTTGGATTCGGGTGGCGCCATAGACGAACTGGCGCGCAATGCCAAGCGTCAATGGGCGAAAATATCACAGAAATTGAGTGAGTTCATCGAGGCCGACGATCTGAAGCTATTGGAGAAGAGTCAGTTCAATGAGGAGGACAGCGATGGCGACGAGCAGGAAGATGAACTGGAGGAGAGTCTGAAAAAAATGAATATTATTTACGAAGAGTGCGAGACACAGATTAAGAGCGCTAGACCCGAATATATGCAAGTCTGGCACGATGAGGAAGAAGAAGCTAATGCGCAAGAGATTAATCAGGCACCAGATGAGGAAGGGGTTGAACTAGAAGAGACTAAAGAAGCGAACGAGCAAGAAGTTGAGCAACCACGGGCTGAAGAAGCTGAAGAACCCGGAATTGACCTAGACAGGACTCTAGAAGCTAATGAGCTGGAAGTAACTGAAATAGACAATGAGCAAGAAACGGAGCTAGAAAAGACTCTAGAATCAAATGAACAACAGCTTGAAGAAGAGGAAACTGAAGAGATTAAAAAGCAAGAGCTTGAGCAAAGTGAGACTCTAGAGGCCAGAGAGCAAGACGAGCAAATTGATCATACCGGACCCAAAGAGACTAAGCAGAGCACAAATCAAGGGCCTCAGCCAACAGGCGATGACCAGCCCTCGAAGCCTCCCATAATACTTGATTACTTTGAAGATAATACAGATACCGAAAGCTTCCATACAATACCCGAACTGAAGACCGATGAAATTGAATGTAATCTGGAAATACTCAACGATGATGGTGATGCTGTAGTCAAGGAGGTCTGCGTCAATGCCCAGGTCACCTATGAGTTGAAAAAGTAATTGAAATTCACGTTGATTTTACCAAAATAAATGAATAAAATTGTATTATACAATTCAGTGTGTGTTGTTCGACTAAGGCACGTGTAGGAAACATTGCGAACCCGAACCCAATGATAACATTTCCCGAGGGAGAACTGTCCACAAGTAACACAATCCGAAAACTAGTTTGAACCGCATTAAATAGCAAAAGGCAAATGAAAAGTACAAAGCACGTACATGTTTTCTAAATATATATTTAAAGTGCGAAAGATTAGGGAACGATTTTTTATTATTTACTTTTTTTACTGCCCGATCGATTAATTATCAAAATTGGCACATCCTGAGCCACTTGAAACCGGTTTGCCCAGAGCGCTCAAACCGGTTTTTTGCTTTGTTTCGATGACTTCGGCGAGGGCACTCGAGCAGGTTATCATCGACGTCGCGCCTTATCAATTCGAAAATAATGTATGGAAAAAAGAAATAAGAATGTTGCACTATTCCCATAGACGTTCAAACATCAGCAGCGAGCAGCTGGAGAGTGCGTGCACAGTTTATTGGACTCAGCAGAATTCCACATGGATTGATGCCTATTGCATAATACAATTGAAATTCATTTGCATACAGTATAATAACATCGAAATTCACTCAGCTGATAACATCGATCAGTCAAGAACTCTGGAGGGGGTCATATATAAATACATACATACATACATCTATAGATCTACTTCATTTCATTTTTTTTGGTAAACAAATTTCGTGTATTTAAAGAAATTCCTTACTGATTATAGTCGTCACAATAAAAAATACATTGAATCCAGTTTGTACCAGTTCTATTTCATGAATTTTGATAATCATTTTATTTTGGACATTTCACAATCTTATCTATATCACGCTCGGCAAGTGGTTTCAGGCAAAACAGCTGAATGACTGGGCGAGGGGGCCAAAGTAGGTCAGTGGTAAATACTGATCGACGTTCAATGTGCAAGTTTATCGGTCAAGTAAAAACTTTTCCCTTACTATTCAGTTAGTTTCGACGGGATTCCGTTTGATACAAATTCATTGAGAAATCGCTTTAGCTAAAGTATGTTGTGCCTATTGTGGGAAAAGGAAGTAATTCTAAAATTTAATTAAAAAATGGAAGGAAAAAGCTGATTATATACTGATACATTGAACTGTGAGTATTATTATAGCTGGGAGTATTTATATAACTAGCCGAGAGGGGATAAGAGAATACTATTTCAAGTTGTTAAGCATTGTAAAAGGTGAATAAGGAGAGGAGCAAATGTCCTGGGACAAAGAATATTAAACCAAATCGAATCATAAATAGCAAAAAGCTCATCATATATACATATATATGATTTCCATCTTAATATTATATATATATATACACATATACTAGGTAGTGCCAAGATACAAGATAAATATAATTTAATAAAATACTAATGCATAAATTCGACACAAATCAAATATAAATTCATAATACATTGAAATACATAAATTCGCACAATGTTTAAGGCATTTGCAGTCGATCTCGTCTTGCCACGCCTATTTCTAGGCATACAACGAGCCAAATTGCATAAGCACTATCAGATAGGTAACCATGGCCGTAAAGATCTATAGAAATGTGTTAATTGAGAATAAATATTCTTGCTACAGATCGAACAGAGCACCCACCGACATGAGCAGATTATAGTTGATATCCATAAAGCCCACGGCGCTAATAGTCAAAGCATCCTGTTCCACCTGCATGGCGAATTCAGCGAGAATCGCATTGTAGGCCAAGGGAGGTGGCACCGCCTGGCACTGGGCAGCACAGGCCAGGCCCCTAACACGACTGCCTATAAGCATGTGCTATAGATATAGGTATAGATATAGATATATAGATATAGATATAGATATAGATATAGATATAGATAAAGATATAGATATAGA